TATATAGTTAGACAAATACACGGGGCAATTTCAAGCAAAATGGAACAAAAATGAGTTCAAGTATGCAATGAAGGCCTAACCCCAAAGGGTTGACCTAGTGGGTGCAGCTTGGAGCTTGGGGGTGTGCTCTATCTAGGTCTCAGGTTCAACTCCCACTAGGTGCTATCAACTCCTTGGAGCCATGTTAGTGGGCTTTGCCTGACCTACGTGGAAAGGGCACATTGCATGGATCTCGAGATTAGTCAATGTGTGCGCAAACTGACCTAGACACTCAATCATAAACAAATAAAAAAATTAAAAAAAAGAAGAAAAAAAAGAAGGTATGCAATGAAGGCCTAATGAAAATAACTAAAAAAAAATGGAAACAATATAAAACTTTTGAGTGATGGCAAACTAAAATGTGGCCCTCTCACAATTTTATATAATATAATGGGTATTAAATGCTAATAAATGATGGAGTTATTACAAGCGAAATAGGACAAGATTGAGAGAGAGAATTCACGAAGGCTTAATGAAGAAAAATAACTTTAAATAGTACATAGAAACTATTATAATATCACCGATAGGGCTACAAACGGGCCAAGTCGAGCCGAGTTTTGCTGAGCTCGAGCTCGGCTTAGTTCAGCTCGGCTTAATAAGATTTTTTTTTGTTATTTTTATTATTTAAATAAAGATTTTTTTTACATAAAAAATATTATTTATGTTATTTAATAGATAAATAATGTATTTATGCTATTATTTATATATATTTACATATATTTATATATTATTTAATATATAAATAATATATTTATTATATAATTTAAATAAAGATAAATGAGCTGAGCTCATTCGAGCTCGAGCTCGACTCTTTTACTAAACGAGCCTAATATTCGAGCTCCAAACGAGCTGAGCCAAGCCGAGCCAGCTCATGAACAACTTGGTTCATTTGCAGCCCTAATCACCGATACTAGCTTTTGTCCCATGGTCCTTTTACGTAAAATATGAGATATGAAGTTGATTGAAAGATAGTACATGGGTAACCACATACACAATCAAAATAATCGAAACTTCTGTTAAGGGAAAATGGAGATGTTAATTATTACCTTTAACATTTAGACATGGTTTCCCAAATTCGGGTTATTACCACACTTGATATATGAACTTTCCAGTCACCTTAAAATTATGAGGCAGATTGAAGACATAGGTTAATTAATGACAGTACATCCACTATTATTTAGGCCAATTGGGTAGCCCAAATTCATCGAGACCTTGGGAAGTAAATGAGGAGAGGAGCTTCCCCCACAACTTGCCACTTAGGCCTTGTTTGGGAACAAGCTATTTTAATAGTTTATTAACTTTTTGACTTTTTACAAAAAGATGTGCAGAAAATAGAGAGTGATATGACAACTTATAGTAACTTTTTGGTTTTTTGGCTAAAACACGTAGTTCCCAAACGAGGCGTTAATATTTGTTGTACCAAATAATCTTTTGTCTAAGTTATTGCATTTTATGTACTTTCTGTGCAAAATTTGTAAAAAAAAGAAGGGAAGAATAGAAAAAAGATTTAAGCTTCACAAATAGTTATTGTAATAAATAGCATATGTCTATATTGCAATCTTTCACACGTGCAGTGTGCTATGAATGGTGTATCTAGTTTCCTGAAATGAGTGTTCTTGTAAGCAATCTGATTGCTTTGGGATTGTTAGTTGTAACTAAGGTTAAGCATTTAACTCAACTCAAATAGTTATGCTACAGATAGAACGAGACAACTTTTTTCGTGTGTGCTGTATAGTGGAATGAGCGTCTTTCGAAACCTAAAAAAATGTGAATGTGAACTACTATAAGCAGCAGGTAAAAGTTATCTTCCTTATCTATTAGAAATTTGCTTTTGTACCCCTTCTATGGGAAGTCTATGCTATATGTCGGAAATGTGAAATTATTGAAATTATCAAGACATTCCTCCAAAAGTCTTAGACTCTAAAAGTCCATTTCAAAGAAGCAACCCAAAGGAACTTCCTAAATTCCTTTGAAATCTACTTCTTGCGATGTGAGGCAGCCATTTAAGTGACGTCCACTCAATATCCCATTCTATCCTTGTTTACAGTAACAAACTTTTCACAATGCCCCTTTATATTATGACATTTACGAAACCTAACTTGTAAATATACATGTTTGTATCTAGTGTTCTTTGCATCTCTACTGAAAATCACTGTTTGGTTGAGCTTTCAGAATATATTTTTTGTTTTTTTTTTTTTTTAAATTAGAAAACTTGTTTGATAAAAATGAACACCAAAAAAGATATTTTTCAGTTTTTCAAAAATTATTTTCGCTTCAAAAAAGAGAAAATCATAAGTTTTTTTTTTTTGCCAATCTAGTTTTTGGAACATTTTCAGAAAACATGTTTTGAAAACAGAACCAATCATATTTTTTTATTTCAACTGTGTCTATTTTATCTTATTATTCTTTGGTTTTGCTTCTTATATCGCTTGTATGCATCTCAATGGTTCAAGTTTTGCCATAAGTAAGGCTCCTCCTCCGTTAGGCTACAGCGGCCTCTAATGTACTTTATTTGTGGGCTGTAGTCACTTGACTCCTTGAATTTTTTGAGAAATAAAAATCTTGTGATTTTTTCAATAGGGTTCTTAAATATTTAGAGAATTTGGCAAAGTGCTTCTTGATGACAGGGACAGGACTTTCAACTATCAGAAGCTGCATCAAATGGTGCCTAAATCTTTTGAAATATGATATACACTTAGGTATTCATATGTAGAAGTCATACAAGTGATGTTTCCTCCCTTGACATGTTTCTCAATAGTTTCTCTGGAACCTTTGTCATTTGCCAAAATCATGTTGAAATGATACTTAATGTGGATATTATATATTTCCTTAGTAACATTAAGGGGTTGTTTGGGGTGTCCTAAATAAGTGCACTTTTTGTCTTTTTGGACTAAAAAGTTGAGGAAAAAAATATGAATCACTGTGTTTGGTTTGAGTTTTCTGGATTAAGTTTTTTGAAAATTGACTTTTTTGGTTTTTGTGTTTTTTTGTTTTTAGTGAATATTTTTTAAATTTTAAACATTTTTTTTTACTTTTTTAGATGCACCTTACTTAGATGTATCTAAAAAGTAAAAAATTTGTGAAAAAATATTTTAAAAAATTAATAAATACATAAAAATACAAAAAATGTACTGAATTCTTGTATTTTTTTTTATATTTTTGGTATTTAGTGAATTTTTAAAAGAATTTTTTTACATTTTTTTTACTTTTTAGGTGTTTTTATGTTAGGTGTGTCTAAAAAGTAAAAAAATTGCTTAAAATATTAAAAAAATTTAGTAAAGACAAAAAAACAAGGAAAATAAGAAAGTAGAATTTTCTAAAAAGTGTTTTGAAAAACTAAAAACCAAGCAAGGTGAATGTTTGGGTTAACTTTTTGACTTTTTATGAAAAAATATGTAATAAAAAATTGTATAAATAAAGTGTATAGTGGAAGAAAGGTGATTGACCGTACGGCTCTCCTGTGGCTGCCCCGGATGTCTCCACGGAAATAATTGCCTCCTTCGGGGCAAATAACTTTTGGACAGTGATGGTCGGTTGGTGGAGCCACTAAGGGTTCCGTTTTGATAATCCGAACCGTTAAATATGTACAACTCGTCGAGTATTATATGCCTGTAAAAAATCACTTTGATCGGATATCGATAGTTATATGATCGGATTAGTTTTTTTTCGATAGTTAACTATCACACCATCCGTTTTGTTTATACAAAACTGATTTGATCATGTAGTTAACGATATCCGATCAATGTGATTTTTTACAGACATATATTACTCGATGAGTTCTACGGAATAAACGGTTCGAATTATCAAAAAGGAACCCTTAGTTGGCCCCCAAGGGTCCAATATTACCACAAACTTTGTAACTTTACCTATGGAATTATTTTTTTTGCCCCAATACAAGTGCTTAATGGCCTGGTCTGACAAGGAGGGCTGTCACGTCCACCGTTCAATTTGTATTATAAATATATAATATAAAATATTTTTTTAATATTTTTTATTTATGAATAGTAATCTCTTTTTTACTTTTTGACTTTTTATCTTTTTTGAGAGTTGCCAAACTTGGCCTAAACTAAAAAAATAAATTTATAATAATTGTCAACATGTAAGGAAATTATTATAAATACCTCTATAACCTCTGTCTTTTAAAATGTTTTGAATAATATGAAAATTAATATATAAGATAAGAATGATATAAATATGATACATGCTTTATAAAGTTTTCCACCTTGGCGTATGTTACATGGACTATTCAAAATAAATCAAATATCTGTGTTGGACACCTGACACTAAGAAAGGGGTATGGAATATGTGTCGGGTACTATTTAACAGATACCTATTATATAATTGTATATAAAACTATTATTATATGTATATATTATTGTATAATTGCTATAAATATCTTTTTGACATTATAAGTTACATGTAGCACCATTTTATCTCACATACAATGTTATTAAAAGCGATAAGCGCACCAAGGTGCCAAGGTCTCTTGAGGCCTTAGGCACAAGGTGCAAGGCGAGGCGCGGGCTTCATTGAAGTAAAGTGCACCATGGCAAGTTAAAATAATATAATTTAATATGAGACATATAAGCAAATAACTACCTGGTATAACATAAACAAAATGAAATATTGAACATTTTAAAAAATAAATACTAACAAATATCGTTATTTTAACATATACAAATGAGTATAAGCATGCATTTCAAAACGTAAAACACGAATATCTACGATCTAAAGGTCAACTAATAACAATATTTCAAGTTTAAGCATGCATTTCAAACATCAACAAATTAAACCAACAAAACATAAAGTCTTTGCTTCCATTTATCCAATGAGGATCTAACAATCATCATCATCCTCAAGATCAGCAGCACGCAACTCATAATTTTTTTCTTCGTCATTGGATTTGTATCCTTCTACATCTTCCTCTTCTGTCTCCTGTGAATCTGTCTCTTCCTCATCTATCAGTTGACGTGCATTTGATGATCTAGAACCCCTTGGCCTTGCCCTTGACGCCGATGGTGTCTTTGAAGTTGTTGATCTAGTTCTCTTATTTCTTTCCCGAACTCAGAAGCTCTAGCAACATCACCCCACATCAAACTTTCATCATCAAACACATTATCGTTATCTTCATACTCTTCTCCATCCATCCTCCCAACCAACCACTCATTGTTTTCATCAATATTTGTTAAAGTGATGGGATCAAGTGTGTCACGCATATCATATCGACGTTTCAATTGTCTGTTGTACTTAATAAATACCAAATCATTGAGACATTGTTGTTCCAACCTATTTCTTTTTTTGTTATGGAGCTACAAGAATAAGAGAATGTTTTAAAATATACCATATGAGAAAAAAAGAAAAAGAAAAAGGAATTCACCAAACTTGAGGTAGATGCTCACATGCTCAAATACACTCCAATTTATTTCACAACTAGATGCACTACAGGTTAAGCTAAGAACTTTTATGGCAAACTTTTGCAAATTTGGGGTTGAAGAACCATATGCAGACCACCAATCAGTTGTGAATTGCAACTAATTTTAGCACTAGAAACTTTTGATTTAATCTAGAGGCATGAAAAAGTTGATGGTGTAAAATGGATTACCCGGTGCCCTTGTCATTCTCTGCCTAATTGCTAGTGGCATCGCAAGGAGACCTTTAGATTTTGTATAAATACTCATCTCTTGAGTGATTTTATCTTGAATCTCAGTGCCTCGAACCAACCTTGACACACACTATAACAACCCTGACATGATTTCAGTGTCATGCTCAATACTTGGAGAGGTTGATGCAATTGGATATTTCACCTATTGTCAATGATTTCAAAGATATTCTTGTATTTTTCAATACTTTCTGTAGCCCTATCCATAGCCTCATAAATGTATCCCATGGCAGGCTTTTTCTTAGAATCAACCAACCTAAGCATGTGCACAAGTGGACCTGAGACCTTAAGAGCATAAACAGTTAGATTCCAAAATGATGGCATCAACATAATCTGTGTTGCTTGTTTACCCTTTGGCTCTTTTGCCCATTTGGAGCTTGTCCATTCCTCCGAAGTGAACATCTTTCTCAAGTTGTTTTTTGTTGATGAATCCTAGATAGAGTGAGAAAGGCTGTTGCAAATCTTGTCTTTGCAAGCTTGACCAAATTCTTTAGCTGTGTAAACATCCTCATCATATTCAACACACGTGGACGGTTATAAATATAACCGTGTACCCGAATAGCCCTGTCAAATGTCTTCTTCATATGTGGCAATTTGAAAATATCTTCCTGTATCAAATCCAAGCAGTGAGCAGCACATGGTGTCCAAAAGAGGTGTGGTCTCTTTGCCTCCAAAAACTTACCTATTAAAATTATACAAACAAAACATAGAATATTTAATGACAACTAAATTAACTAACTAACTAACTAACTAACTAGTAAGTACATATTTCTTAAGAATCAAGACAAAAGATTCTTACCAGCCAACACATTAGCTGAGGCACTATCTATGATAATTTGGACTACATTAACTTCTCCAACATCATCCACAAACTTATCAAGTAGTTCGAATAGTTTTTGCCCATCCTTGGAGTAGCTTGAAGCATCGATGGACTCAACAAACATAGTTCCTCTAGGACAATTGACTGAAAAATTAATCAAAGTCCTCCCACTTTGCGAAGTCCATCCATCTGACATCAAGGAACACCCATATTTCACCCATTCCTCTTTATGAATCCTCATCAACTCATTTGTATAATTAAACTCTTTCTTCAGATATGGAACCCACACTTCATGGAAACTAGGGGGTTTCATACCAGGACCATACTGCCCAATAGCTTCAACCATTGGTCCAAAGCTGTCATAACTAACTGCATTAAAAGCTATACCTGCATCATACATCCACCTTGTGATTCTTATTATTGCTCGGTCTCTTAATTCTTTCTTATAAGGATTACTGTGATCAATTGTTGTTTGTTTTTCTTTTTTATTTGCCACCACAAAATCAGGATTGGGTGTAGAATACATTTTGATTGCTTGGCAATGATTTACCACTTGGTCCACGAGGTCAATGAATCTCAAACGCAATGTCATCTTCATCCTCTTGAAGATCATTGTTCATCTCATCAAAATGAGGCAACAAGTTAATTTTATCTTTCATTATTTTCTTGTTTCCCATATAGTCTTTTATCTCTTCCAGTACATCAGGTGGACATTTTTGACAAGCTGTGACGTTCCTTGAACCTCCAACAAGATGTTGTTTGGCTCTATAAACCCCTCCATTAGATACTTTACCACAAAAATTACACTTCAATTGATTTGGGTTCTTAGTATCTAACTGATGTGCATATTTCCATGCAGGATCTTTTCTTGTACGTTCAGGTGCCATCTAAATAAAAAAAGTAGAGCAGAAACAGAGCAATTCAGAATAAATATTTAATAAACAGAGCAGTCTAGAGAAGAAGGCAGAAAAAATAAATAAATAAAATAAAAGAAAAAGAAGAAGAAGGTAGCATGGGTATAAGCAGAAAAGAAGAGAAGAAGTGATGAAGATGATGATGAAGAAGAAGAAGAAGAAGAAGAAGAAGAAGAAGAAGAAAAGGAAGAAGAAGACTGATGAAGAGAAGAACAGACGAAGAAGAAGAAGACGACGAAGACAAAGATGAAGACAAAGAAGAGAAGACTGGCGAATAAACAGACGGAGAGAAGATGAAGAAGAGACGAAGAAACAAAGAGAGCATACCTGCACATTCAAAGCTCCTGGGCTGGACCACGACCGGAAGACGACTGAGAGAGTACAACTTCTTTGCAGATTGCATTAGGGCTTGGTGTTTCTTCTGTCATCGTTGATTTGGGGCTAAACCGACAAGTATATTTGAAGGATATGATTTGCTGTGGCTGACCTATGAAATTTTGGTGGTCCAATTCGAATTTAAAAAAAAAAAAAAAAAAGCCCTCAAGGCCTACTCCTTGGGCTTAAATGTGCCTTGTTCGAGTCACGCGCTTTAATCATGCCTTAGTGAAGTCGCCTCGCCTTGACCACTGCAAGCCGCAGAGGGTGGGCACGGTTGGGACTTGCGCCTAGGCGCGCTTTTAATAACACTGCTCACATACTTGATTAAAAATACAAAGGTATGACATTTTTTGCTTAGTCCACATATCCTTAAATTTATAGTTTGATGAGTCCGACCTCTAGATACATACCCGCACCCAACACCTGTATCCAAGTCTATGTAACAGAGGCCTTCACTGCTAAAAACTTAAGTATTTCAAATAAAATGTTGTCTACTATTATAAAATCAACATTAGATTAGAAGTAAGAAGACTGCTAAAATATGTTCCTAGATTTCCCACATTTACAACCAGGTTTTATTCTTGCATACTATTGCAGTTAAAGGCACTTTTTATATTTTTACGTAATAACAAAATAAAAAAAAAGCGCTCAATTAGTACACATTAATGTGTGTTTGGGAGTGGAAAGATTGGGTACACACCTAATAAGCGAAGAGGATCATTATCCCTCATCTCTTAATTGAGAGACACAGATTTAGATTTTTGCAACATTGCGTTCTTAATGGATGGGGAAGAGGGCGTACAACCCCTTCTTTGCTCCTTTCCTTTCGCACTCGTCAATTTAATGAGTTGAAGGATGAAGTATTATATTGAAGTGTGATTCACATTCAAAACCAAATATATATATGTATTATAGTTTTCAATTTAAATTAGTGATTTGAGGACAATCTGATGCAATTTCTATCCATATTTAGATAATTATTTTTCTTCTTCTTTTGTAAAATTTCTTAATTGTTTGTCTTGTCATATTATTTTTTGTTGATTCTGTTTTGCAGTTTCCTGACTTTTTCAAGTTTGTTTGTTTGTAATTTTTTTTGTTTTTTTGTTTGTTTGTTTGTTTTTGTATATATCTAAAAAATTGATGTAAATTGTTAAAGAAAAAATATTGATTTGGTGATGTAGCTGTAGATTCATCATATTACTATATATGTAGATATGAAGAATTTAATTTGATTATTTTCTTCATTTTACCATGTGAACAATACAAACAAATAAACTTTGACGTTTAATTTTCAAAGAACCTTTAAGCAGAAAGTGCAAAAATGAATTTTGTCTTGTATACATTGGCTGACAAAATTACAATTAGATCTATACTATTTTAAGTATCTTTAATAAAAAAATAGCAATTTGGCCCCTTCAAAATTTATGTAGTTTTACTTTGGCCCCTTCAATATCTATGTAATTTTACCTTGGCCTCTCCAAAATCTATATAATTTTATCTTGGCCTACAAAACTTTACAAAAATCTCAATTTCGAGTATTTATAATAAAAATTAACATTTTTCCCCTTGAAAATATATATATATATATATATATTTATTTTGGCCCCTAAAAGTTTAAATAATTTCTGGGTCCACTATTGCTTGTATACTAATGTAATGATTGTAATCCTAATGTGGCGTCAAATCTTTAGATGGTTATTTCTCTGAACTTAGGCAAAAGAACGACACAAATCATAGTTTTGAAATTTTTGAATTTCTAAGGATTTTTTTTTCAACCTTTAGAAGAAAGAAAACCGTTGGAAGAGTTTTACACTGGTAAAAAGATCTGTACTATATTATGGGACCTATATTATATGTGTTAACCAAACACAACCAATTCCTTTTTCTAATTATGTGGTGTCTAACATATGCTATCTGTGCTCTCTTCTTTTATTGCTACAGCTGTGATAATACTTGTTAATTTTACATTAATTGTTATACTTCCAGATAAGTAAGATGGAATTGTTTAACAGGTAACAGGTTGTATAGTTCTCATAACGTGCCAGGTGGCCTGGGCCCCATCATTATGTTACGTATTCAAATTAATAGTGGTAGGGCCCACAAGACCTTTTATACTCTTGCAAGGAGTGGCATGGAACCTGCTTGATTTGGTGTAGAATCCTATGAAGTGCACTTACCCACCAAAGATTGTATTTAACTCAATTTAATTATTTCATTTATGATGCCAGTGAATCTGTAACAAATTTTGGATGATCTGGTTCTTAAGAATATTGCTACTTGTAACCTTATATCATGTTCATAAATTTTGATGCCTGATGGGAAGAGCTTGGGATTTGCTCTTGCTAAAATTTGAATTTTCAGCTCTGAATTGAGCCCCACTGCAGCTTTCCCAGCATCTTCTCGGCGGAAATGCTGCTCATTTTAGGGAAATATTGTAACTTATGATATTAAGAATATTAACACATCAATTTCAGTTTCTGTTGCTAGTTTCAGCAAGTTTTTCCAAACTCATATTTACAGGCCTGTCACTATATACATATTTTAAGGATCTTGTTACATACATTTTATTGATATTGAGTACCTTGACAACTTGATAATTAAAGACCACTCCTTATTTGGCTTTTGGCATTTTACTAATTACTCACAGTGGCGAAGATGTTAATTCACATATTATATGGTTTAAATGTATTAAGCATCATGCCATTTATCTTTTGAGCCTCATGCAGAGCTGTTATCTGAATGTAACCTGAAGTCCTTTTTTAGCATAAGTTGTTTGGGTTTTTGTTGCCAATTTATATGAAAAATGGCTCTGATTGTCCTTCGAGAAATACTCCATCAATATGTTAAGTCATTGTTTGATGAGGTATCAGACTACTTTTCTGTTGGTTTTTAGAGCACTTTCTGTGAAAGTGTGGCTGTGAGATGTCACCTGAACTCGAAGCTGTTGGCCATGGTGTAAGATGACTTTGATGTGTGTCAGTAATAGTTTTTGGGACATTTGGAAGGTGGAACCCTGTTTCTGCCTCACAAGCCTTTGTACATTGAAAACCAAATTTTGTATGTTGCAACTTACATTCACAATTTGGTTTTGGGGGTGAGGTGGCATTAAATTGACATACATAAGTTTTTTACTTCTTTATTAGTGGAGTTCGGATGACTTGTTGGAATCCCTTTGTTTTTATTTATTCGTTTTCTCTAGGAAGAACTTAAGAGAACTCTTGGCATGTGGGTGATGAGTCTTTGTTTCCTCTTTGCAGGGGATCATAAATAATCAATTCTCTGAAATTCAGGCTTTGAAGAGTGATTGTGTGGTGCAGTTGATTAATGCGTACTGTGTTGAAGTGGGAACAATCTTGTCAGAGCTGAAAAGCTGCATGTAACTTCAGCTGTGAAATTTTATTGTTCTGGACTTTCGATTTATAGTTGGTCACCAACTCATCTTATATACCCTGTTTTGTGTTTGCAGCAATCTTCCCAATGTTGATTTCTCTAACTTTGCTGCACAGGCTCACAAAATAGAAGACAAAAGCTTGGGGTAAATTAGAAATATCTTGCTTCATTGGGTATCTATAAGACAACTTGAATGCTTTTTTTTTCTTTTCTTTTCTTTCTCATCTCTGATAAATGAAAGGATCCATGTAAACTTTTATTGTGTTTGCATCTGTAACATATGTGAGTTAGACAAGGTACAGATACAGACCATTTGGTGTCAGCAAGAGGCAGTTTAAAACTGTCTTACAAGGTGAATAACTTGTCAAATCTGTTTAAGAAGGTAGTCAGAGTTTAAACAATTTCCAAATACATTTTTTTTTTGAAAAAGCGACAGAATATTTTTAAGCATAAATCAAGAATAGAGGACAAGGAGTCCTCAAACAAGAAATTCTAAAACAACATCAAAAAGCGAAAATAAACAAGAAAGCCAAAAATTAGGAATGGTAAACAACAGTCCAATCCCTAGAAATCAAGAAAAATGGAACTCCTCTAAAAGATTTAGACACAAAACCCAAAGCGAAGCCAAGTATCTCGCCTTGTCCCAAATCTCTTCAACAATTGACTCCTTTTCTTCAAAGATCCTTTTAAACCTCTTCAGCCATAAGGACCAAAAAATAGCACAAACAATACAAGACCACAAAACTTTGGCCCTTTGGCTACCTCCAAACCCCGCAAACCTAGCAAGAAGCGTAAGTGTACATTGTTTTGGAGCTACCCACTGATCACCACACAGACTGAAAAGCCGCTGCCATAGTGAGAAAGCCACCGAGCAATGTAGAAATAAATGATCCACCGATTCCAAACTATTAGAATGTGTTAGGATATTTCCTATTCTATTCCTATTCAGTATCTTTATTTGATGTAATGGGCCCTTTATTTAGGCCTTAACTCCTATAATTATGTTTATGATGTAATATAAAAGAGGATGAGAGACTACTCATACCTTAACTTTTCTCTTCTCAAAACTGACATGGTATTAGAGCCACTCTAAACCCTAGAAACCACGAGCCCCAGTCACCACCACACCACCACCCCAATCGCAGCACCCCTAGGTTTCCTCCACCCCAGTTGTCGACCCCTAGGGTTTTGCCAGTCCCCGTCACAGTTGCCTAGGGTTCCGATAGCACTCTAGGGCTCGTCGGAGCCTCCCTCTTTCCCAGCCCAGGCCTGTCGGCTGGCTTGGAGGTTTAGTTGGGTTGGGGGAGTTTTTTCTTCCCTTCTTTGGCTGTCGATAGCTTCTAAGGAACCTGGAGGTCCAGTCAGGTACGACATCATCTGGGTAGCTTCGCCTCTTCCTTGTTCTCTCTCTCTCTCTTCATGTAATCTGTCTCTCACCCTCCTTTGTAATCAGTTTTTGTGTCAAAAAAAAAAAAATGTTCATCTTAAATTCTATTTGTTCTTATTGTTATGTTCTCCCATCTTCCGGGTTTGTGAATTAGCCTAGTGTTTGTTTGTGAGGATTCCTTAGTAGAGTCTCCATGGCGGAATTGACTAGTGAGTCTACTACTTCGTAGCTTGCTACTCAGGGCGCAAGTCCAATTTTGATTACTACTATGACTGATTCCCTCAACCCTGGCCAAATAATCATTACCTCTCTCTTTAATGGTCAGAATTATCTAGCGTAATTGCAGAGTTTGACTATATTTTTGAAGAGCAAAGGGAAGATGGGATATGTTGATGAGCGCGTTCAGGCTCCCAGTATCATAGATGCGGGTTATGATCAGTGGGAGATTACCAATTCTCTTATCATGGGCTGGTTGATGCATTCGATGGTTCCGGAGATCGGTGAGAGATACTTGCCTATGGACACAACACAAGATATTTGGGAGGCTGTGGCTGCTACCTATTCCCGCAAAGGCAATTTCTCACAAACTTTTGAGTTGCGACGCTCCATTGACCGGTCCGTCCAGCGTGAGATGACTATCCTCCAGTATTTTACTTTCCTTAGCAATGGGTGGAAGAGACTCGATCATCTTCTAGACTACAAGCCTGTCTGTCCCAATGATTCTGTTGGTTACCGGAAATTTGTTGAACAAGTGCGGGTTTTTAAGTTTTTGGAAGGTCTGAATATAGAGTTTGATCCTGTTTGGAGTCGTGTGCTTGGTATGGATGTGCTTCCTTCTCTCCAAGAAGCGTTTGCTTATGTGCAGAATGACCAAAGTTGTGGTTCTGCTATGCTTCTATCTACCTCTTTTGACCGCTCTACCCTGGCTTCTGCACCCTCTAGAGATGGGGATCGTGGTACCCGTCCTCCTTCTAAGAAGGATACCCTCTTCTGTGACTATTGTCGCCACCCTTGCCACACCCGTGAGACTTGTTAGAAGTTGCAGGGGCTGCCATCTGGTGGTTGTGGAGATCGTTCTGGTTCTTGTGGGGGTTGCTCCGGTCAATCTAGGGGCCGCAGGCCCAATGCCTGAGCCCATCATTCTGATACAGTTAGGCCACAGTCCCCAGCTTTAGTTGTTTCTTCCGCTAATATCTTTGTTTTTTCTACTTCTGAGCTAGACCATTGGGCATCTAATTCATCTTCAGGTAACTTTGCCCATTCAGGTAACTTAGCTTCTTCTACAAGTGCTTTCCTCACTCATCAAACATTGCCTTGGATTATTGATTGTAGTGCTTCCAACCATATGTCTGGGTCTTCTGATTTGTTCTCAGCATATACTCCTTCAGGATAGGATAAAGTTTGAATTGTTGATGGTACCATTTCTTCTATGTCTGGGAAAGGTTTAATTCATGCCACTGCTTCCTTTCCTTTGTCTTCTGTACAACATGTTCTCAATTTTAGTGTTAATCTTTTATCTTTGAGTCGTATTACTTGGAGGGGTTGTTTGGGATGTTCTAAATAAGTGTACTTTTTGACTTTTTATAAAATATGGGTTAGGTTTGAAGTGATGTGGTAGAGAGATGATGTGACTTAAATAGGATAGTAACTTTTTGACTTTTTGACTTTTTTTGAAGATGCCAAACTTAACCTTAAATTGTAGTGTGACCTTTTTCCTTGATCATTGTCTATTTCAGGAACGCGAATGGTCTCTATATCCTGGATCAAGCAGACAAGCTAGCTCATTCCTCCATTCAGTTACTATCTACCAAGGAAGACCTTTGACTGTGGCACCGTCGTCTTGGGTATCTATCTTTTTTGTTACTTAAGCATTTTTTTCCTTCAGTTGTTTTGCAAAATAATGTTTCTGAGTTTCACTGTGAGTCGTGTCAACTTGGAAAACAACACAGAGCTTGTTTTGCTCCTTCTATTAATAAAAGTTTAGTCCCTTTTTCATTGATTCATTCCGATGTATGGGTTTCCTCTCGTTTTATGTCTTTAAAGGGTTAAAGATGGTTTGTCACCTTTATTGATGATTGCTCTAGGACCACCTGGGTATATCTTATGAAGGACAAATGTGTAGTTTTTTCTGTGTTTCAAATTTTTCATAAAATGATTTGCACTCAGTTTGGGGTGGTTGTCAAGATTCTACGTTCTGATAATGGGGAGGAATACATTGACTCTAGCCTTGCCAGCTATTTTGCCACTCATGGTATTATTCACTAAACTTCTTGTATCAATACCCTTCAACAGAATGGTGTTGTCAAGCGTAAAAACTACCATCTTCTTGATATTGCACGCTGTCTGTCCTTTGAAATGCGTGTTCCTCGATCCTATTGGGGGGAAGCTGTTCTCACTGCAGCCTTCCTCATCAATCGTCTGCCTACCCAAGTTCTCCACAAACACGCTCCTCTTTAGGTTTTGTTAGGGTCCTCTTCTGGTTTCTTCATTCTTCCCAAAACCTTTGGGGGTGTGTGCTTTGTTCATAACCATTCTCCTACCTGTGGTAAGGTGTGTCTTCCTGGGTTACTCTGCCACCCAAAAGGGCTACAAGTGTTATCATTTACCCTCTCGGAAATTGTTTGTCTCTATGGATGTGTCATTCTTTGAGTCTCAGTCCTATTTCCTGTCCTTGCCGGTGTTCCAGTCATCCCTTCAGGGGGAACCTTGGTGTGAAGCGCTTCCTGTATCACTACCATTAGTGATTGAGTAGGATGTTAAGGGTGACTCCGCTATTGAGACTGTTGAGTCTGAATCTGAATCCACAGTGAAAGATGGCAAAGTTTGTGTCAGGGACAAGGATAGAAAACAAGTTACTTGGGTACAAGAGACCAATTCAGATTCTCCACTGCTATCTTCTCCTTCTAATGAGTGTCTAGAATCCTCTTCTGCTGATGAACCTCCAGGTAACTCTACTCTTTCTGATCTAGATGTTCCCATTGCTAAAAGGAAGGGGGTTAGGTCCTGTACTCAGCATCCTATTTCTCATTTTGTCTCCTACACTAATCTGTCTTCTTCCTATAAAGCTTTTCTGTCTAAAGTTTCTTTTGTGAGTCTTCCTTCTAATTTTTAGGATGCTCTTTCTACTCCTGAGTGGAAGCATGCCATGATGAAGGAGATGAGAGCTCTTGCTAAAAATGGCACTTGGGAACTGGCTGCATTACCCAAGGGAAAACAACCTGCTGGATGTAAGTGGGTGTACACTGTGAAGCACAAAGCCGATGGTTCAATTGAATGCTACAAGGCAAGATTGGTGGCCAAGGGCTTTACTTAGAGTTATGGAGTTGACTACCAGGAGACATTTGCACCTGCTGCTAAGATGAACTTTGTCAGAGTCCTTCTCTCCCTTGCCTCTAATCTCGACTGGCCTCTCCATCAATTTGATGTGAAGAATGCTTTCCTCCATGGAGATTTGAAAGAAGAAGTGTACATGGACATTCCCCTAGGCTTTGAGGATGTTAAAACCAAAGGAAAGGTTTGCTGATTACGCAAGTCACTTTATGGCCTTAAGGGTTTGGTTTGAGAGGTTTACTCAGGCCATGCTAAGATATGGTTTCAACCATAGTCAAGCTGATCATACTTTGTTTGTTAAACACTCCTCACTTGGTAAGACTGACAGCTCTTATTGTCTATGTGGATGATATTGTACTCACAGGGGATGATGTTGAGGAGGTTGCTCGGTTAAAGGAATATTTGGTTAATGAGTTTGAAATCAAAGACTTAAGCAGCTTGAAGTACTTTCTAGGCAATGAGGTTGCTCGGTCCAAAGATGGCATCTTTATATGTCAACGACAGTATGTGCTTGATTTGCTAAAAGAAACTGAAATGCTTGGAAGTAAAGCCTGTGATACACCACTAGAGCTTGGACTGAAGCGTAGTGAGGCTCAAAGAGGCGAGCCTATAGACGGGGAGATACCAGAGACTAGTGGGTAAGCTTATTTACTTATACCATTCACGTCCTGATATTGCTATTGCAGTAAGTATGGTTAGTCAGTTTATGCATGCTCCACGTGCAACTCACTTAGAGGCAGTTATGAGGATTCTGAGGTATTTGAAATCTTCTCCGGGAAAGGGTCTCTATTTCTCAAAGTATGGTTATCTTAGTGTAGAGGCATATACAGATGCTGATTGGATTGGATTAATAACTGATAGAAGATCCACCTCTGGCTATTGTACCTTTGTTGGAGGAAATCTAGTTATTTGGAGAAGCAAGAAATAGAATGTAGTTGCGAGGTCTAGTGCAGAGGCCGAATTCAGAGTTATGGCTCAAAGTGTGTGTGAGTTATTATGGATTAGATTATTCTTGAGGGATTTGGGGATTCATCAGACAGATTCTATGAAGCTATATTGTGACAAGAAGGCCGCCATCAATATAGCTCACAATCCGGTTCAGCATGATAGGACCAAGCATGCTAAGCATGTAGAGATTGATTGGCATTTTATCAAGGAAAAGCTTACTAGTGGTACTATATGTACGTCGTTCGTGCGGTCTGGGGATCAACTGGCTGATGTTCTCACCAAAGGATTAGGTAATAAACCATTCCGTGACATTCTCAACAAGCTGGGCATGAGAGATATATTCACACCAGCTTGAGAGGAAGTGTTAGAATGTGTTAGGATATTTCCTATCCTATTCTATTCTTATTCAGTATCTTTATTTGATGTAATGTGCCCTTTATTTAGGCCTTAACTCACTCCTATAATTATGTTTATGATGTAATATAAAAGAGGATGAGAGACTACTCATACACTTAGAAAATATGAGGAAGAAGAACTCCAAAAATATGAGGAAGAAGGAATATATTTCTGTTATATTCAAAACTTCTTATCTTACAAGACCAAATGACACTCCTTATATAGGAGATATTACAAACATCATTATAACCCATTATATGCCACTTACATATTATATATTACCACTATCTACCACTATCATACTATATACATGCCACTATCTTCCACCAACACCACTATCATATTCTAAACATGCCACTATCTACCACCAACACCACTATCATATTCTATACATGCCACTATCTACCACCAACACCACTATCATATTCTATACACTTATTATATACATTAACACAAATTTCATCAATAATACAATTCTCTATTTCTCTTTATACATTCCGTCCATATTTTGTGGGGGAATTAATGATCTCAGTGTCGCATTGCCTTTACAGGAGGAATCTGTCTCTGGGTCTTGCAAATGGAAACTGTAGACAAGTCCCATGTTGATTTGGAAGACGCCGGTGGTGCTGGTGGCGCCACCTCGAGTGACGGAGGAAGTGACGATCTTAGCTCCACCGCCGGCGCGTTTAATTAGCGTGGACTGTAATAACAAGGCTGCAAATTACCAGCGCAGGTTTGATGATAAGCCAGGGGTCTGGTGTGATTTTTGCAATAAGCCTCGCCATACACGCGAAACGTGTTGGAAGATTCATGGCAAACCTGTCAACTGGAAAAGCAGCAAACAAGAAGAGAAGAATCGTGGCTTTCCTACCGCTAATGAAGCCGATTCAGGTCCCTTCAACAAAGAGCAGATTGATCAACTCTTAAAGCTGATAAAATCCAACTCCTCATCCGGTACTCCTAGTGTTTTGTTGGCACAAACAGGTAGAAATCCTAAAGCCTTCTCTTGCCTAAACATGGACATCTTCAAGTTGAAAGGAACTCCAGGGATAGGCTTACTGTTCAAGAAACATGGACATCTTCAAGTTGAAGTATACACAGATGCAGACTGGGCAGGAAGTGTTACAGGCTAAGTTGGGGACGTGAAGAACAGTATTGAGATTAATTTTCTCAGTTAGTTTAATAAATCCTTTTCTTGCAATAGGTGAAAAACTACCATCGGCTATTCTGATTTTGTCATGACCGGAACAAGGGAAATAGGTACTAAATAAATGGGAAAAACTAGTCATGTGATCGGAGGCACCGGAATCTATGATCCACGGAGAGAAGTTTAGGCAAGAGAAGGCTTTAGGATTTCTATCTGTTTGTGCCAACAAAACACTAGGAGTACCGGTTGAGGAGTTGGATTTTATCAGCTTTAAGAGTTGATCAATCTGCTCTTTGTTGAAGGGACCTGAATCGGCTTCATTAGCGGTAGGAAAGCCACGATTCTTCTCTCCTTGTTTGCTGCTTTTCCAGTTGACAGGTTTGCCATGGATCTTCCAACGCGTTTCAAAGAGGTAACCCCCACCCACACATCTTCCCAAAACCGAATATGAAGCCAATTACCCACTTTCAAAGACAAAGGAAAAACTATAGGATATAAACGAGAGATGGATTTCCAAAGAGGCCGACAATTGCCTCTCCTAACCACATTTGAATCTCTACCATTTTCTTGAACACCATACTAGCGTTTAATGATGGAGCACCATAATGGCTCGCTTTCACTAGAGAACCTCCACAACCATTTGCTCGAGAGTCCAATATTCCTCACAGAAATATTCCCGATAGCAAGACCCCCTTTCTCCCTAGGAGAAACCACAAAAACCACCTCCCACTTAACTAAATGATCCTTCTTACCTTTATCACACCCTTGCCAAAGAAAGTCCCACATCAACTTCTCGATTTTCTTTGCAATCCTTGCCAAAATCTTAAACAAAGGAGGATGCAACTCTACACTGATTGCACCAAAGTGTATCTGCCCCCTTTAGACAACAACGCTTTCTTCTAGCCATCCAGTCTTTTCCCAATCATGACAAGTATAGGATTCCAAAAAGACTCCGCTCGTGGATCCCTTCCTAAAGGCAAACCTAGATATTTAAGAGGGATCTCCTCAATGGGACAACCCAAAATGGCCGCCATCCTTTGCACACAACTTTGTTCCAGATTAATACCCACCCCACTGCTTTTACTAAGATGACCTTGAGACTTGAAACAAGTTTCAAAGATTCTCAAGAGCATTAACAAATTGCGTACCTTACCTTCCTCCTTCGAAAAGAAAAAAATAGTATCATCCGCAAACTGTAGACAAGTCGCCTGAATCCTATCTCTCCCTAACACAAACACCTCAATTACACCCTTTTCCTTTGCTAAATTGATCATCCTACCCAACTCATCAACTACTTAAATGAATCAAAAAGGTGACAAGGGTTAACCTGCCTTAATCCCCTGGATGCCCTGAACGAATTCCCAGCCACCATTAATGATAACCGACATATTGCAAGACGACATACACCCCCAAATCCACTTCCTCCACCTCAAATTGAAGCCTTTCCTTTCCAAAACAAAATCCAAAAAACCCCAATCCACGTAATTATATGCTTTTTCCAAATCAACCTTAAAAATAACCCCCTCCTTATGCACTTCACTATACTCCTCTATAACCTCATTGGCGACTAAAACCACATCAAGAATCTGCCTTCCATTCACAAATGCACCTTGTGAAGAAGAAATTGTTTCTCCAAGAACAGCCCTAAGCCTATTGGAAAGCACCTTAGCCAAAACTTTGTAAAGCGAAGCGACCAAAGCTAATGAGCCTAAAATCCCCAATCTTAAACGACCTCTCTTTCTTAGGAATAAGGGAAATGAATAATGCATTGGTACACAAATTAACTTCCCCATTCTCAAAAAACTCACCGTACACCCTCATTAAACCTCCCTTTACAATGTCCCAACAATCTTGGAACACTGCCATTGAAAAGCCATCTGGTCCTGGAGCTTTATCTCTCTCATACTCAAACACAGCCTAATGCACCTCATTCACCTCAAAAGGTCTTTTGAGCCACCTAACTCAAGAGATATCCACCGGATCCCAATCAATGCCTTCAATCCCTGGACCCCAATTAGAATAAAGATTCGAGTAAAATCTAAATATCTGACTAACAATATGATCCTCCTTAGTCACCTCCAGCCCCTGTCCAACCTCTAAGATCTTAATAAAATTCTTCTTCCTTTTGCCAGATGCAACTCTATGAAAAAACTTGGAATTGGTATGCCTTTCCTTTACCCACTTCAACTTAGCCGTTTGCCTCCAATAAATGTTTTCCTTTAAAATTAACTCTTTCGGTTTCAATGTAAGCATGTTCCTCTCATCTTACAAAGCTCTACACAACCCTTCCCTACCTTTTTTAGCATCCAACTCCTCAATACCTCTTTCAAGTCACCAAAAACCTCGCACTTCCACACTTTCAAATTCTCCTTGACCCCTCGCAACTTTCTCATAAACTTAAAGCCCTCCCACCCATGAGCTACCCTATTCTCCCATCAATTCCTAAAATAAGACATAAAAGAACGATCTTCCATCCATGCATTCTCAAACCTAAAAGGAGATGGATCCCACTTAAAGTGGCAACTCTCAAACACAATTGGGCAATGATATGAAATAGCCCTTGGTAATGTCTCCTGCCTAATATTGGGAAATAATCCTTCCCATCCCAACGTGTGAAGAAACCTATCCAACCTACAATACGCAAGATTCTCCTGTAGATTAGACCAAGTAAACCAAGCATTACTTAAGGGTAGATTGATTAACCCGCACTCTCTAATGAAAGAGTCGAAATCCCTCATGCCTCTTTTTGTAACCGCTCCGTTAAGCTTTTTTGAGATGAGCCTAACCACATTGAAATCACCTTCTACACACCAATATGGAGAACAAAGCCCAAACAAATCCTCCAACTCCTCCCACCACTTTTGTCGATTGCAAGGCCTATTAGGGCCATAAACCCTTGTCAACCACCATTCATTATTATCCCTACTCCGAAACCTAATGGACAATAAAAAAAAGCCCTAGGAGTGTCTCACACTCCGTGACTACTCTCTCATCCCACATAATCAAAATTCCCCCAAACCTCGTAGACCTCGTAGAAGAAGGTAAAATAGTCCATCTAATAAACTGAGTCCGCCAAACACTCGTTATGCAAGACCTATCACGCACCTCACACTGTCTCTTGAAACATCACTATATCTGGTTGTTGAAATTTCAAAAATTCCTTTATCACTGCCCTTTTTCTCTGGGACTGAAGTCCTTTTAACATTCAAACTCAATCTTCATTGAGCACCATTAGTGACCCTAACCTCCTTCATCTGACCCGCATAATTAATACCGCTCTCAAGGTTTTTTAGCTCTTTAGCACCTCTCCTATAACCTAAGCTCCTATGAGTGCTATTCCTCCTAGATGCAAATTCAACCTTCTTAGATCTGGACTCCTTCCCACTGGTCCTAACAAGGGACAAACCAAGAGTGTCAAGCAAAGGCACAAAATGAGG